TGCCTCTGGCGGGACTCGAACCTGCGACCTCTCGCTGTCAAGGCGAGTGTCATAACCACTAGACCACGGAGGCTTCATGGTTGAACAGATTCAAATACCACCAGATACACTCCATTACACAATAGGTACGGCTAGAAACAATATAGGTACATATAATATAAATCAAGATAGCCGTTAACACTGTTAAAAAACTCTCTCTTCAACATAAAGTACACCTATTTAAGCTAACTGTGGCGTTCGTCCAATATGGGACTGACTTAATTTTGTAATAAATCTAATTTTGTTTTTGAGTTTGAACATTCTGATCATTTGTGGGTTTTTCTTCAATCGATAACCACGACGAAGAAGCATAGTCAAAAAAGGTTGTAACGACATTCCATACAATAAGAGTCAATTACCACGAAGCTTGACCAAGGCTTGACGATGACGATATCGCTCGTTAGCTTTTGTATGGCGAGCCGAGTTGTCATTTAATCGTAAATAGAGATATTATGTTTTAAATAAAGATATCTTAGTTTTAACTAAGATATCTCTATTAATAGATATCTTAGTTTTAAATTAATAGAGATATCTCTATTAACAGAGATATCTCTATTTAAAACTAAGATATCTCTATTTAAAACTAAGATATCTCTATTTAAAACTAAGATATCTCTATTAAAAACTAAGATATCTCTATTAAAAACTAAGATATCTCTATTAAAAACTAAGATATCTCTATTTAAAACTAAGATATCTCTATTTATAAAAATGTAAAAAAAATGTATGATTATGGCACTCTGTGACCACAAATGGCACTCTCAGACTTAAATATGATATTTTCTTGATTTCTCCATTGTATAATTTTCGGCGGGCCGGCTGCTGCCCTCTCCCTCCCCAACTTGAATCCGCCGAGACTATGACTTCGTATGCTATAGTAGTCTGTCAACACTTTCGACAGGATTAATACAGAAACTTTGACACAGCAATGTAACGAACCCAAATTAAAAAAAAAAAAAAATCTTAAATTATAACAGTGAAACTCGCATTAATTAAACTGGATTCAAACAGTAATTAATATGATTAAATTTGAAGATTCGTAAATAAAATCGAGGTCGAGTAAAATAAACCCCTATAGGCCTATATAGGCCATATTGGACAGTCTACTGTAGGCCTGAGGTTTGGTGGGGAATTTCTGGAAACTGCGAAAGTGAGTCTTGAATTCTCTACCCCAGAAAATGTGAACCTTTGGTAATCTGAGTTGTACAGTGTTCCTAATTATTGCGAAATGCTATGGCCAATGCATTGCATTGCTGCACTCTTCTAACCGGTGATTTTTAATAACTGTGGTATGAAATTTGTTGGAAATTGATCAGCTCCGGTGATTACAGATTGATATATGAACAATGTTATCTTTAGGCCTACAGATGTAAAGGACATAAAACTTTAGCCCCTTTTAAGGTCCCTAAAACACACAAATTAACGAAAATTTAAATAGAATATTCACGAATTATCGGTTAGAGAAATCAATTATAAGGCCCTTAAAAGTCCACTTTTTAAAACCTATTATTTCGCGAAATGCTATACTGTAGAGTATGCAGCATTTCATTTGCTAGCTCTTTAGTCTTCTAACCAAACCGTTGATTTGTAATACCTTGGAAGTCATCAGCTAACAGTGACTTTTGGTCCGCGCGAAGCGCTGACCCAGAGCCTCACTGCTGTTCTTGTTGTTACTTGTTACAAAAAAATTAAAAGCGTCCAGCGTCGCCAGTTTTGAACCGTCGTGCATGAAATTTAGTGCACATAAGCTAGAGGGGACAGTGGCGGACAGGCGGGAGCAGGTTGAAGACTGCACCCTCCCCCCTGACGGTTTTTACCGGGCTGACCAAGCCGTCGTACCGGGCTGGGTAATAATGGAAAAGAAAGAAGGGAGAGGGAGGGAGGGAAAGAGAAAGAAGGGGAAAAGAAAAGAAAAGGAAAAAGGAATAGAAAGAAGAAAAAATAAAGACAAGAATAAAGAGGAAGATATCATAATGACCAGACTCACAACACCCTGCAACCCCTTCTCCACTTCAAAAAGTGTCCATAGCTCCTTTGATCTAAGCCGCCAGATATTCTCCGCAGTGCGTAACCACCGGGGGACAAGGGGAAAGTATCCATCTGTGGAAAATTTTTCCCCACCCCTTGAAGATGCCCTTTTCACCCCTGGAAGGAAGTGCCTAAAAATCAAATTTCTCGTTAAAGTAGGCCAATTTCCTCTAAAAAAGTGCACATTATTAGGGAGTTTTGATCAATTCCGACGAAATCAGAATTAAAAACACAAACATTTTTCGCATTTTTTAGGATTTTTAAGGGTTAGCCTTCCAAGTTATTTAAACACATAGGCCTAATTGTCCAAAACTCCAGAAAAAAAATTTAAGATAGATCGTTTTACCTAAAAGAAGGGTCTCAATGTGTAATGATGGTGAAAGAATATGTTTATGAAAATGCTTATATTCAGTTTCGAAAAACGTGTGTGGCCATATATAACATAAGCCCTAAACTCAACCGCATTTTTGAGGGTGAGAACTTGTGCCTGTCCTCCTTTGCCTTTTAAGTTAATTGAACACATAATAGTCCAAACTCAAATAGTTAAGATTATTTTACCTAAAAGAAGGGCCTCAATGTGTATTGATGGTGAAAGAATATGTTTGTAATAAACTAGAAATTGCAAATTGCAATTGAAGTGCTGCGAAGTACAACTGCATAAAATGTTCTTCGAACAAAATTATTTATGCGAGTCAAGTGAAAATAATGAATAATAAAAATATAACAAATAATATGAGCACGACCCATTGTCTATATATTATTAGAACAGAGTTGGTACAATAGTGTTTTGCTGCAGTGACATCTCTCTGCTGGCGATGGCTCGCTGCTGCTGGCGATGACTCGCTGCTGGCGAATCGATCTGCGCATGTGTATAAAATGGTATTTATTTCCGCAAANNNNCTATGCCAGTCTACAACAAGCGTCGCCTAAATGTAATAATTAGCACGTTGAAATAGACTAGTAAATAAGTTTAACTGGGTTCGTAAATAATATTGTCCTCAAAATATTGTGGCTGAGACATGAGCCGATTTAGACTTGCCACAAGTCTCTTATTTTTTTAAATTATTTTTCTCATTCTGGACAGCGCCACCAACGAGAAAAAAAAGAGTGAGTAACCTAAAATTAGGGCCTGGAACCCAGGCTAGAGCCGATTAAACGTAGAAATAGGAAACCTAGAAATATAGTAAAAACGCTGAATAGTACTCCAGCGTCGCGACATGCGGACGTTGGTACGAGTAGGTTAGTCTACAAACGTCGCCTAAATTAATTGATTTTACGCGGCAGAACGAAAGAAGGAAACTCCGCTTT